GATGGCTTCCAGTGCCCGACCTGGGCACAGGACCCCGAGCAGAACTCGCTCTTCAAGGCCCTCCTCTTCACGCCTTGGGCGTGCGAGTGTCCCCTCTCTTGTGGCTGCGTTACTCAGTACAGCCATATGCTGAGGAACTGCGACTGCCCAGCCGTGCGCCCATACTCGTTCGAGCGGGCGCGGCGGCTTCGGTGCGCGGAGATCCACGTGTTGGCAGCGCGCGCAGACTCCAGGAGCCGCCTGGCCCGCAAGAGGCTCGTGCTCGCGGACACGACCCTCTTCTCCGAGCTGAAAGAGCCCCGGGCGAACCTCTAGGAGGGCGAGCTGGTGCTCCTCAGCCTAGCGCACTTCGCAAGGTCCCAGCTGGCGCGGCGCATGCCAGCGGAGGCGGCACGGCGCATCCTCGCCTTCAGTGACACCACTGCCGGTGGCACGAGGAACAGTGCACCCTGGCGGAGTTCTGCGCGCACGTGGCGCGAGACGTGCTGGCGCACGTGGACCTCGCGGCGGAGGCGCGGGTTAAGCCTCGGCCAGCAACGACTGCACACCTCGAGGCGGATGAAGACTCCGCGAGCGATGCCGAAGGGCTCAAGAGGCGAGTCCCGCTGGAGCTCGTTGACGTGGGTGGAGGCGGCGGCAGCGACGTAGAGGAGGACGTGGAGGACGCCGAGATTACCGAGATCTCCCGGTTTCCGCTGCGGGACCACGTCAGAGCAACCGAGCTGGCCCTACAGCAAGACCAACTGCAGCGCTTGGACCAGAAGAGCCGCCTCAGCTACGCCGATAAGCAGTTGAAGAACCTCGACCGAGCGTACAGCGGCATGCTGCAGCCCAGCTTTGCACTGCCAGCCAGCAGCGGCGCGGGGGAACATCAGGGCACGCGGCTGGACGAGACCTTTTCTGACATGCTCGCCCTACAGCGGCAAAGCATTGCGCTCCAAAAGAAGCAAGCGAGCCCGGATGGAGAGATCTTGCCCGATGCTGCGGACGACTGCTCCCCAGCGGTGCTCCTCAGCCTGCTGCCGAGGACGCCCAACCAGAACTCGTTCCGCAGCTCTTGGCCATGCAGGGCCCGGCGGCTGTTGCGTGGAAGCTCGTCACTGATGCCCACTGCACGGAGGAGCAGATTGACGCGGTGGCGTTGTTTGCGTTGTCTCTGCAGAAACGATTTGACGGCAGACCAAACAAGACAACGCATCTCCTCCCCGTGGCGTCCGCGACAGGCAACCACAGAGCGATCTGGCTCGGTGGAGGCGGTGTCGGCAAGACGCGCACCCTCTCCAAAGTGGTGGAGCCGATGGCCATCACTTACTTCGGCGAGCAGGGGTACATCGGCAAAGCGCAGTCCAACCACGCCGCACACAACCTCGGCCCGCGCGGCAGGACCATGCATTCCTCCAATGGCCTGCTCATGTCGGATTCCATGCAGACAGCCAGGCTGCGCTTGACGCCACAGACGCAGAAAAAGCTGGATCGCCTCACAGGCACACTCGGCGTCGACGTGATCGATGAGATGGGTGCTGTGCCGGGGCCTTTGCTGCATGCAGATGCACTGCGCACGACCTACGGCAGGGCGTTGCGCTACAACCTGGACCCCACGAAGTACATGCGCCCGCAGGAGACGTGGGGACGCATGCCTGTGAAGATCTTGTGCGGGGACTTCTACCAGTTGCCGCCAGCCCCCGCCACCGCTTCCCTGCTGGCGCCTCACGCGGGCCAATCCTACGAACACCAACAGGGTAGGAAGTTGCTCGCCGACATCGAGTACGTCATCGATTTCGTGCAGATGCAGCGCTTTACAGACCCGTTGCAACTCGAGGTTCTCCACGCCCTGAGAACTCCAGGCGGAAAAAAGATCTCTGACGAGAGCTGGCAGGCGATCGTCAAAACAGAGGTCGTTAGCTCTAGCGGTGCTGCTCAGCCTGCTGCCAGCAGCAGCGAAGCCGCTCAGCCACCTCAGTGGGACCCTCGGTTGCGCGCAGCACGAGGCTGGTACGAGTCGGCCTATGAGTGGCGCATCGTCTCTTACGCCATGCATGCACAGGCCAAGCTGGATGCGCGCGATGCTGGCCAGCTGCTCTTTTACGTCCCAGCAATCGACAGACCAGCTGCGCGCCTCGCGAAGCCTGATTACGACGAGATGCGCGCGGAGCCCAACATCGGCGCTACCGCAAAAATGCCGGGGCTGCTGCCGCTCTTCGTTGGCATGGAGGTCATCCTGACAGAATCCGTCTTGCCGCCGAAGTATGTCCGTGGCGCGCCAGGCAAAGTTGTAGGCATAGAGCTGCACGCTCTGGAGCCTCCGGTGGAGGGCCGCCCGTCCATTGTCTCGGACGGCGTGGTCGTACTCTACTACATGCCAAAGGCCGTCTATGTCAAGATCGATGACAGCGATGAACTTTTCTTGTAGGCCGCGCCGGTGACAGCTGGCAGTGCTTCTCAGCCTGCCGGCCCCGACCTGCGCGGAGTGCTCGCGATCACCCCGCAGGCGCGCCCCTGGAAGTTCAAAGCGAAGACAGGTGGCCCGGCCAACGCGGTGTCCAGGACGCAGTTGACCGTGCTGCCCAAGAAGCAGGGGACTCTGCATGGCGTCCAGGGCAAGACGACGGACCCAGGCTTCATCGTGCACTGGACGTTTCCGCCAGGACTCAAGAAGGAGTCCATTTGGCTTGCCTACTACGTCAGCCTGTCGCGCCCAGAAGCTTCAACCAACTCTTGAGCCACGGCTTGCCTGACCGGAGCATCATCGAATCCGGCCCCCCGGAACAGATCGCCAAGGTCTTTGCCGAGCTCTTCACGGACAAGATTGCCGCGACGAAGATCGCTTGCGCGAAGGCCCGACAGCAACTGGGATGGCCTGCGCGAGCTTGAGGAGTCATGAGATGCAGGTTGCGTTGTGGCGGTCCTGTTCAGTCTGTCCGTCTGCATTCGCGTGGTGCTTCTCAGCCTGCATGCGCGTGGTGCTTCTCAGCCTGCGCTCGTGTGCAGATGTGCGCGGTGAGCCTGCACGTGTCGCGGAATGCTTTTCAGCCTGCGCGTGTCTGCAATGCTTTTCAGCCTGCACGCTTTGCAGCTTCTCCGCTTCGCACGCCGCTCCTCAGCGCGGTCCTCTGAAAAAAGGACAGTCATCATCTCATCGTCGCACTCATCATCGCACTCATCATCATCATGCATTGCCAGCGTTCATATCAGTGTCTCGTTTTTACACGACTCCCACTGTTGATCGCAATGTCTCGTTTTGACACACTTCCAGCGTTGATATCAGTGTCTCCTTTTTACACGACTCCCACCATTCACAGCCAAGTTTCGTTTTGACACACTGCGAGCGTTGATAGCATTATCTCCTTTTTACACGACGGCCACCATTGATAGCAGTGTCTCGTTTTGACACATTTTCAGCGTTGATAGCAGTGTCTCCTTTTTACAGGACTCCGAACTACAACTACTACTTCACTGTTACCACTGTTTCATCTTTCCTGCTCTTATTGCTAATACTACTGCGACTGTTACTGCTGCTGCATGCCTCCAGCTATGCTTCTACACATCGCTGTTAGGTTGCTTTGCCGGGATAATTGTTTTCACCCGCCAGGCCTGCCTGGCGCGCGGTATTGGTTGATTCGGCGGTTTCGCCCGTCCCAGACCGCGCACTTCCTGGATTACAAACCGACATTACGGCCTTCAGCCGTTTTCCTGGATCGATGCGGCTGTGATGGGCTCGTCTTTGGGTATATGACGTCTGTCCGTCGCGCGCCTCCACTTCGGGTATGTGGGCTTTGGCGCGAGCTGCTTTGTATGGCTCCCTCTGGGCGACTTGCTCTCGCAGAGTGGCCGCTGCCCTTCTGGGTCTAGTTCGGTCTGCTGGGCGACTCGGCTCGGACGCACCTCCAGTGGATACCCTCCCGTCCGCGGGCAGTGGCCCCATTGGAGTTCTCTGATTCTGCGACGGTTCGCTGGCGCTGTCAGAGGCCTTCCTGCAGGACCGCGTCTCCAGCTTGGTCTGTTCATACCCGTCAGACTCCCTGGATTGACTTTCCTGTTTGGATGTCGTTCCCTCCTATCGTCTTCATACGGTCACGATGGGAACGTTCACGCGCCATTTTGGCAGCGGAAATTTGGTGGTAGACAGACTCCCTGGACTTCCACTTGCATGTCTCCTGGGCGTTTGCAGACTTCCTGGGTTGCACGCTCGCCTGGCCTTCAGACGCCCTCGGTTGACGCCGCCGCCTGATCCGCGGCCCGCGCGCGCTCGGGAATTTAGTCACGGCCGCGGCCCGACCGTGACTGCTCGCCGTCGGCGCTTCCGCTTGCGGCCGCTAAAACAATATATCCCCACCAGCCGATCCAGAAACGATGCCCAGCCAAGTTGCCTTGGCTTTGCCTTACATGGGAGGATGCGGACAAGGAACGGGAAAAAGAAAAACAAGAAGAGGATGGGGGAAGAAGAGGGAAACGGTATAAAGACCCCCATCGGAGCCGGAGGCATCCTCATCTTTGGGGTTTCATTGGGGGTGCTCTCTGGCTTTCGGATCCCTGGAAAGGGCTTGGGCCCAGGTTCTCTTTCAGGATGGTAATCCGTCCCCAGTGACATGTTGGGGGTGGGCTGGCGAATGTCTCCTGCGATGAGGTCGGGGTGGACTGGCGAGTTACAATGATGAGGATGTCCCGAGCGAAACGTTTGTTCTACATAATTCCCAGGAAGGGCTGGGGCCCAGGTTTTTTTCCCCAGAACGGGCGCACTATTGTCAGCGCCAGGTGGTGCAACGTTTAGGCGATGTACCGTTTGAGGCTCAGTAATTTCGACATTTTCAATTTATGTCCAGCGCCACATCAATTTATGTCCAGCGCCCCATCAAGGATTTCGCATCGCCCTCCTCCCCGACCAAGGTCGGCCTCGGCGGGCCCCAAACCTCGCTCGACGGCGGCCCCAGAGGCCCCCAGTAGGATCCCAAGATGGCCCAAGAGGGTACAGAAACGGCCCCAGCGGGTCCAAAAATCGCCCAAAGCAACCCCAAGATGGCCCCAAGAGGAGCACCGAGGAGGGATTCCGACGTCACAGTTTGAAGCTGGGGGCCCAAGAGCCCCCGCCCTTCCTTCCACACCTCGATCTATGAGGCCAGAGGTCCCGGGGCCCGTTGTGTATTGGAGAGCAGGAGAAGCAGGATGAGGAGATTAGGTGGCGTAACAGGGGGAGGAGGAGGATGAGGAGTTTGAATGCCCGTCCAGGCAACCCCGTCCCCGACGCTAGCTCCGACGGTAGCTCCGACGCCAGCTCCGACGCCGTCCCCGACGCCAGCTGCCGTCACGACCGCCCCGTTCAGTATCGGTTCGACGAATAGGTGCTCCGTCTCGTCCGACAATGTGATCTCGTTTTATAACGGTGGTTGCTCGATCGATAAGCAAATCACTTGGGACTTCACAGATCAACTCGTCATCGAGTTCAAGACACGCGGCTGCAAGGAGCAGGATTGCTCGACCCCGAACGTGAAAGGTCCTGTTGAACCCCATTGGTTCTTCGAGCCCTTCCGCAGCTCGTATGCAGGGTCACGCCGCGAAGTTCCTGATCTGTGGTGGATTTCTCGCTCCAGCGACTACGGCTTTGGCGCTTATGGTGGATGGTCAGTGTCGGGCGGGAGCGGCGCCGGCCGCTCACCCAACACAAACGAGCCGTCCGACCCGACCCAATGGCACACGTGGGCGATGACGTTCACGACGGCGGGCAATTGTGTCAATCTCGTCAGCTGGTTGGTCGACGGCGTGAGCAATGGCTTCGGTAGCGATGCAGGAAACCCTGTCACGATGTGTTCGGCGTATGGCACGACCACATGGCTCGGATGGGCCTCGCATGGCACGACCGCGTACGCTTACGTGAAGGATTTGTCAATTAACGGCGCAGGGCACATTTCAGCGCCCGCCCAGGCAGTGGGAGACCACACCTTCAAAGCTGTCATAGCGTGATATTCTAGGAGGAGGATTGGGAGGAGGGGGAGGAGGCGGGGTCGGGCGAAGAGGATGAGGGGGGAAGCAGGAGCAGGAGAAAGCTTATGTGACAGTTGGGTATTTACCTAACAGCGAAGACTGATAGGTTTCTAGTGGGCTCAAGAGAGAGCAGCAGATCACTCCACAGGGGGGTCCGGGCAGGTGTTGGGAGTTGCCGGGCGGGTTGTGTCCACCTCGTTTTTCACCAACAGTCACACACTTCGTGCTCTTCGAGTTCCCAGAACTCCATTCCCAGGCTCATTCTGAATAACCGGATGCAACAGTCACACACTTCGTGCTCTTCGAGATCCCAGAACGCCATTCCCGGGCCACATTTAGAATAACCGGATGCAACAGTCACACACTTCGTGCTCTTCGAGTTCCCAGAACGCCATTCCCGGGCCACATTTTGGATGCCCGGAGCCAACTGTAGGCCACTTCGTGCTCTTCTATTTCCCAGAACTCCATTCCCGGGCCACATTTTGAATGCCCGGAGCCAACTGTAGGCCACTTCGTGCTCTTCGAGTTCCCAGAACTCCATTACCGGGCCACATTTTGAATGCCCGGAGCCAACTGTAGGCCACTTCGTGTTCTTCGAGTTCCCAGAACTCCATTCCCGGGCCACATTTTGGATGCCCGGAGCCAACTGTAGGCCACTTCGTGCTCTTCGAGTTCCCAGAACTCCATTCCCGGGCCACATTTTGAATGCCCGGAGCCAACTGTAGGCCACTTCGGGCTCTTCGAGTTCCCAGAACTCCATTCCCGGGCCACATTTTGAATGCCCGTAGCGAACTGTAGGCAACTTCGTGCTTTTCGACTTCCCAGAACTCCGATTCCTGGGCCACATTTTCAGCAGGGGCAAGAGCACGACGAGGAGGAGGACAAGCAAGACCAGGAGGACGAGGACGAGCAGGAGCAGGACGAGGAGCAGGAGGAGCAGGAGAAGAAGGACGAGCAGGAGGAGGAGGAGGACGAGCAGGAGGAGGAGGACGACCAGGAAGAGGAGGACGACCAGGAAGAGGAGGAGGAGGAGGAGGAGGGGAGGGGGAGGAGTACCAGGAGGAGGAGGAGGAGGAGGAGGAGGAGGAGGAGGAGGAGGAGGAAGAGGAGGAGGAGGAGGAGGAGGACGAGGACGAGGAGGAGGAGGAGGAGGACGGGAGGAGGAGGAGAGGGGAGGAGGAGGGGGGGGGAGAGTACGGAGGAGGATGAAACCGAGGACCACCAGGAGGAGGAGGAGGAGGAGGAGAGGAGGAGGAGGAGGAAGGAGGAAGGAGGAGAAAACACCAGGAGGAGGAGGACGAGCAAGACGAGGAGGACGAGAACGAGGACGACCAGGAAGAGGAGGAGGAGGAGGAGGAGGAGGAGGAGGAGGAGGAGGAGGAGGGGAGGGGGAGGACTACCAGGAGGAGGAGGAGGAGGAGGAGGAGGAGGAAGAGGAGGAGGAGGACGAGGAGGAGGAGGAGGAGGAGGACGAGGAGGAGGAGGGGGGGGGAGAGCACCAGGAGGAGGAGAACGAGGACCACCAGGAGGAGGAGGAGGAGGAGGAGGAGGAGAGAACACCAGGAGGAGGAGGACGAGCAAGACGAGGAGGACGAGAACGAGGACGGGCAGGAGGAAGAGGAGGAGGAGGAGGAGGAGGAGGAGGAGGAGCAGGAGAAAGAGGAGGAGGAGGAGGAGGAGGCAGGCTGAGGCTGAGGCTGTGACTGCGACTGCCGTTGCCGCTGCGACTGTCATCGCGAATGCGACTACGACTGCGAGAACAGCAGAATTCTACAACTGGATTTTCATCTGAATCGTAAGGGGAATGCTTTCAGATATGCTTCTACACATCGCTGTTAGGTTGCTTTGCCGGGATGTGTCCGCTTGGCCCCGCATATCTCCCCTGTTCCTCCTTCCTCCCGCCTCCTTGTACATCCTCCTTGTGAGGGGAGCGGGAGAAGGACGAGGCGGAGGAGGAGGGAGAGAAAGCGCTCCTCGTGATTTGAGTCGTTTGGGGTTTCTCGTCCTGGTGTGAGTCGTTCGGGCCCTTCTTCCTGGTGTGAGTCGTTCGGGCTCTTCGTGGTGTGAGTCGTTCGGGCTCTTCGTCCTGGTGTGAGTCGTTCGGGCTTCTCGTGGTGTGAGTTGTTCGGGCCCCTCATCCTGGTGTGAGTCGTTCGGGCCCCTCCTCCTGGTGTGACTCGTTCGGGCTCCTCGTGGTGTGAGTCGTTCGGGGCCCGCGTCGTGGTGTGAGTCCTTCGGGCTCCTCGTGGTGTGAGTCGTTCGGGCGCCTCGTCCTGGTGTGAGTCGTTCGGGCCACTCCTTGTGGTGTGAGTCGTTCGGGCTCTTCGTGGTGTGAGTCGTTCGGGCCCCTCGTCCTGGTGTGAGTCGTTCGGGCTCCTCGTGGGGCCTCTTGGGGGCCTCTTGGAGCCTCGTGGGGCCTCTTGGGGGCCTCTTGGGGGCCTCTTGGCCCTCTTGGGGGCCTCTTGGGGCCTCGTGGGGCCTCTTGGGGGCCTCTTGGGGGCCTCTTGGGGGCCTCTTGGGGCCTCGTGGGGCCTCTTGGGGGCCTCTTGGGGGCCTCTTGGGGGCCTCTTGGGGCCGCTTGGGGGGGGCCTCTGGGGGGCCTCTTGGAGGCCTCTTGGGAGCCTCCTGGGGGCCTCTTGGGGCCATCTTGGGGCCTCTTGCGACCTCCTCAGAAGCGCAAATGAGAGCTGCCCCCTGAGAAGGACAACATGAGTCCAAAACCTTCGTAAAATCAATGATTTTGCTATGAGGGAAGATGAGCGCGGGCCCCTCAGCAGGCCAAAATGGGGCCCAAACTCTCGTAAAATCAATGATTTCTGCTTCAAAGACGAGCAGAGGGGCCAAACTCCCTCCCCCCGTCGGGGCCAGAATCCTCGTGATGGTAGTCGTTTTTTGGCCCTCCGAGGAGTCGAAATGGACCCCCCTGACACCACCCCGGACTCCCTGTCCAGGTCCAGGGGGAGGGGGTAGGGGGAGGGGTAAACCCTTCCCCGAAGGGGAAGAAGGGGGGTTGAGGACAGAGCGGGCTTTCTAAACCACTCACGCCCAAAGGGCTGGTGGGATTGCGGTACTCACAACTGCATAATGTTGGGCTTTTCGCCAGGCTAACTTGTTGGAAGGATGGCGTGGGAGAAAAGGGCCTCATTGCTCTTGGCCTTCGGCCTGTCGAATGGGGGAGGGAGTGTTTCTGCTTAGGGGTCAGTGGGAACGCCTTGAATCGTAGGGGAGGCACACATTGTTGGAATAGGAGGCGCCCTTGACAGATTACGCCCAGAGGTTGGTGGGATTAGCACAGACGTTGAGGATTCGTGGATGTTGCGCCTATATGCTCTTCCTTGTTGTAACGGGGGGCCAATGCCAGGGGCCCCCTGGCCAGATGACGCCCCCAGCCTTGTGGGTCACCTTGGGCGGTATTCAGACAAAAAGGACAGGAAATCCCAAATCGCTTACTAACTATACGGCAATCGATGTTTTGTCTAGTCGGGGGGGTGCGTCCTCCTGGGGCCGCCCGGGGGCGTCTGGGGAGCCTCTTTGGGTCGCATTTCACAAGGCGTCGACGCCAGCACCAACGCCAGCACCGACGATGTCATTGTCCTCCGCCACCGGCGATCCACACTTGCAGAACATGTTCGGTCAGCGGTTCGATTTGGTGAGGCCAGGCAAAGCTGTCTTGGTCAGCGTTCCGCGCGGAACGCCCGTCGAGGATGCGCTGCTTGTTGTAGAGGCCGACGCGCGTCGACTGGGGACACACTGCTCGGACATGTACTTCCAGGAGATCAACGCCACAGGGACGTGGGCGAACAAGGTGCGGCCTGGAGGCTTTCACTTCGACGCTCACGACGCGCGTGACGAGACGCCGAAGTGGCTGAAACTCGGGCTTGTGGAGCTCAAAGTCGGCAGCGGTCACACCGACAAGGGGCAGCCGTATCTGAACGTCTACGTCAAGAACCTTCAGCGCACTGGGTATCGTGTCGGAGGGCTGCTGGGAGAGGATGACCACACGGAGGCGGCGGCGCCTGAGAAAGGGTGCCAGAAGATGTTGTCCCTCGAGGCGCGGTTGTATGGTCAAGCTTCGGATCTAAAGGGTTCCGTCGCAATTGGCTACTGAGCCGAGGGCTCCCAGCTCCGCGCGGGGCGGTCGAGCCCGCCCAAGAACTCTGCCTTGTAGAGCTCGCCGCTCGTCGCGGGAGCGATTGTCCGGACAGCCTGCCCGCCCGCAAGGGGTGAATTGGTGTGTCCCGCCGACATTTACGTCGAATTCCAGAGACCTATAGGGATCTGCGACGACAGAGCGTACATATGTACAGTGTCCTGCTGTGACAGAGCGCATCCTCTCTTTCTCCTGTTCTTCCCCTGCGGTCTCCTCCTCGCCCTCCTCCCTAGCGTGCTGCCGCTTGTTTGAATCGATGTCAAGCGTGTGCGCGCCTCGACTCCGTGGAACCGCGTTCGGCCGTCTCCGTTGCAAAAAAAAACATGGTACGAGCGACGTGCCCAGGCCACACGAAGGGAGTATCTCACATGGCGGTCCCGAGCTGGAACCACGTGTTCTCACGTGTCCAGGCCACCCAGGGGGAGATCTAACATGGTGGTCCCGAGCTGGAACCATGTGTTTTCACGTGTCCAGGCCACACAGGTGGGTATCTAACATGGTGACCTGGCCACCCAGGGGGTATCTAACATGGTGGTCCCGAGCTGGAGCCAAGTGTTTTCACGTGTCCAGGCCGCCCAGGGGGGAGGAGTATGAGGAGGAGGAGTATGAGGAGGAGGAGGAGGAGGAGGAGGAGGAGGAGGAGGAGGAGGAGGAGGAGGAGAACGAGGAAGCGGAGGAGGCGGAGGAGGAGGAGGAGGGGAGGGGTAGGAAGAGGAGGAGAGAGGAGGAGGATGACGATTGATGATGAGGATGATGATGATGATGATGGATGATGATGATGGTGATGATGATGATGATGATGATGATGCTGATGATGATGATGATGTGCTGATGATGATGATGATTGATGATGATGATGCTGGATGATGATGATGATGATGATGATGATGATGATGCCTGCTGTTGTTGCTGATGGATGATGCTGCTGATGATTGATGATGATGATGATGGGACGATTGATGTGATGATGATGTGATTGAGTGATGATGATGATGATGATGATGATGATAATGATGAGATGAGGATGATGAGGGATGTGAGGATGAGGATGCTGGCTGTTGATGATGAGGATTGAGGATGAGGATGAGGGATGAGATGCTATGATGATGATGCTGATGATGCTGATGATGATGATGCTGATGATGCTGATGATGATGATGATGATATGATGATGATGACGATGATGCTGATGATGATGATGATGATGATGATGATCGAGGATGATGATTGATGATGATGATGATGATGAGCTGATGCTGATGATGATGATGGATGATGATGATGATGATGGTTGGTGGTGGTGGTGGTGGTGATGTGATGATGGGGGGGGGGGGGAAAAATTTTTTCTTTTTGAATTTTGAAGGGGGGGGGAGGAGGAGGAGGAGGAGGAGGAGGAGGAGGAGGAATATGATGATGAACCATGATCAGATGTAGGAAGAGGATGAGGAGCATGAGGGGGACGAGGAGGGGGAGGTGGATGAGGCAGGAGGATGATAGGGGAGGAGGCGGGTGAGGATAATGAGGACCAGGAGGAGGATGAGGAGGAGGAGGAGGAAGAGGAGGAGGAGGAGGAGGAGGAGGAGGAGGAGGAGGAGGAGGAGGAGGAGGAGGAGGAGGAGGACGAGGAGGCGGGAGTGAGGAGGAGTTGGAGGAGGAGGAGGAGGAGGGCTCGGATCCCAGACTTTCCCAGGGTTCGTAGGGATCTGAGCCAGATCCCTAGGATTTCCAGGGTTCGCTGGGATCTGAGCCAGATCCCTAGGATTTCCAGGGTTCGCTAGGGATCTGAGCCAGATCCCTAGGATTTCCCAGGGTTCGCTAGGGATCTGAGCCAGATCCCTAGGATTTCCCAGGGTTCGCTAGGGATCTGAGCCAGATCCCTAGGATGTCCTAGGAATTGCTTGGGATCTGAGCCAGATCCCTAGGATTCCCTAGGGTTTGCTAGGGATCTGAGCCAGATCCCTAGGATTCCCTTGGGTTTGCTGGGGATCTGAGCCAGATCCATAGGATTTCCTAGGGTTGCTAGGGATCTGAGCCAGATCCATAGGATGTCCTAGGGTTTGCTAGGGATCTGAGCCAGATCCGTAGGATTTCCTAAGGATTCCAAAGGATCTGAGCCAGATCCAGGGACCTGAGCCAGATCCTTAGCATTCCCTATGGATTCCCAAGGATCTGAACCGGATCCCTAGCATTCCCTAGGGATTCCAAAGGATTTGAGCCAGATCCTTAGCATTCCCTAGGGATTCCCATGGATCTGAACCAGATCCCTAGCATTCCCTAGGGATTCCCGAGGATCTGAGCCAGATCCCTAGCATTCCCTGTGGATTCCCAATGATCTAAGCCAGATCCCTAGCATTCCCTAGGGATTCCAAGGATCTGACCCAGATCCCTAGGATTCCCTAGAATTTGCTAGGGATTTGAGCCAGATCCCTAGGATTCCCTATGGTTTGCTAAGGATCTGAGCCAGATCCCCAGCATTCCCTGGGGTTTGCTAGGGATCTGAGCCAAATCCCCAGCAATTCCCTAGGGTTTGCTAGGGATCTGAGCCAGATCCCCAGCAATTCCCTAGGGTTTGCTAGGGATCTGAGCCAGATCCCTAGGATTTCCTAAGGTTTGCTAGGGATCTGAACCAGATCCATAGGATGTCCTAGGGTTTGCTAGGGATCTGAGCCAGATCCATAGGATTTCCTATGGTTTTGCTAGGGATCTGAGCCCAGATCCCCAGCATTCCCTAGACTTTGCTAGGGATCTGAGCCAGATCCCCAGCAATTCCCTAGGGTTTGCTAGGGATCTGAGCCAGATCCCCAGCAATTCCTTAGGGGTTGCTAAGGATCTGAGCCAGATCCATAGGATTTCCTAGGGTTTGCTAAGGATCTGAGCCAGATCCATAGGATATCCTAGGGTTTGCTAGGGATCTGAGCCAGATCCATCGGATTTCCTAGGGTTTGCTAGGGATCTGAGCCAGATCCCCAGCATTCCCTAGAATTTGCTAAGGATCTGAGCCAGATCCCCAACAATTCCCTAGGGTTCGCTAGGGATCTGAGCCAGATCCCCAGCAATTCCCTAGGGTTTGCTAGGGATCTGAGCCAGATCCCAAGCAATTCCCTAGGGTTTGCTAGGGATCTGAGCCAGATCCTTAGGAATCCCCTAGGGTTTGCTAGGGATCTGAGCCAGATCCCTAGGAATCCCTTAGGGTTTGCTATGGATCTGAGCCAGATCCCTAGGAATCCCCTAGGGTTTGCTAGGGATCTGAATTAGATCCCCAGCAATTCCCTAGAGTTTGCTAGGGATCCGAGCCAGATCCTTAGATTTCCTAGGGTTTGCTAGGGATCTGAGCCAGATCCGTAGAATTTCCTAGCGCCAGATCCCTAGGATTTCCTAGGGTTTGCTAGGGATCTGAGCCAGATCCCTAGGATTTCCTAGGGTTTGCTAGGGATCTGAGCCAGATCCTAGGAATCCCCTAGGGTTCGCTAGGGATCTGAGCCAGATCCCTAGGATTTCCTAGGGTTCGCTAGGGATCTGAGCCAGATCCATAGGATTTCCCAGGGTTCGCTAGGGATCTGAGCCAGATCCCAAGGATTTCCCAGGGTTCGCTAGGGATCTGAGCCAGATCCCTAGGATTTCCCAGGGTTCGCTAGGGATCCGAGCCCGATCCCTAGGATTTCCCAGGGTTCGCTAGGGATCTGAGCCAGATCCCTAGGATTTCCCAGGGTTCGCTAGGGATCTGAGCCAGATCCCTAGGATTTCCCAGGGTTCGCCAGGGATCTGAGCCAGATCCCTAGGATTTCCCAGGGTTCGCTAGGGATCTGAGCCAGATCCCTAGGATTTCCCATGGTTCGCCAGGGATCTGAGCCAGATCCCTAGGATTTCCCAGGGTTCGCTAGGGATCTGAGCCACATCCCTAGGATTTCCCAGGGTTCGCTAGGGATCTGAGCCAGATCCCTAGGATTTCCCAGGGTTCGCTAGGGATCTGAGCCAGATCCCTAGGATTTCCGAAGGTTTGCTAGGGGTCCAACGCAGATTTCCAGCCTGATTTCTTGTCGCCAGGGCTTCCAGGGGTCAAAGCCCAGATCCCTGATTTGACCCGCTCCCATTTAGATCCAGACGACCGGTTCCCCGTTTTGGCCGATTACCCGTGTGTGTCTGTGCGCGCGCGGCGCTGGCAGCCCCGTGCTGGCCCCCCCCCGCCCTCCCCCTTTCTCGGGCGCTCCGCGAGGGCAGAGTGGTTGGAGTGGAGGGAGGGCCGGCCCCAAAATGGTGTTCCTCAGTAAGTGGTAATCCTCTCAGGGCCAGTTGTTTGTCACGACAGAGTAAATCGAGCTTTACTCGGGATGAGGTGGAATATAAGACAAGAAATGACAATGGTATTAAACAACCTGTACGCCCTTATAGACTCCAAAGGTTGATTGAACTCTCTGTAGGGGAACCCCACCTGGGCCAGAAAGAAAACAGATCACAAAAGTTTTGAATGGCTATCGCTGTTTATACCGCCGTCTTCGTTTGGAGTATGAATTACCACCGTGAAGGAAAACGAAGAGAAACCGTCTCTATAACTTGGAAGGAGTGGAGGATAGAGAGGCATGGAACAAAGTTATCTGGCAGATGCTCATGAATAAGGTATCGTGTGCCCAGACTCGTGTTGCCAATCTAGAGGTGCTGCAGTCTCTCAGACAGGCTGCGGATCTGGAGGCTCCACCGTGCACCATCACGCTGGCGAATATGCTTTGCTGCAGGGGAAGAATGCGGCGTAATCGCGCGACGGGGACTGATGGAGTGCCTGCAGAGATGCTCCTTCGATTGTCGTGGAAAACGTTGAGAGAGGTGCGAAGGATATTCGAGGCTGTGTTCCATAGACAGATTCCGTATCCTGATTGTTGGAGGGAGATCATAGTGAGTGTGATGCCTAAAAATCAAAACACCACGGATGCAAAGGAAACGAGACTACTGTGTATTCAAAATGCGTTATCTAAACTCTATTCTATGTGCGTGGTCAAGTTAGCGGAGGATTATATGGAGGAGGTGGGGGTGTTTCGTAGATTTGGTGTGTATGGATTTGTGAACGGACGGAGGCCATATGATATTACGACTGCGTTGAAACATTTAGGTCAACATGCTAGCAAATATCAGCACGCAGATGATCAATTACATGTTGCTCTCGCTGATGTTTATCAAGCTTTTGATCATTGTACGGTTGCTAACTTCAGTTCTGCCATGGCATATGGTAGTATACCATATGTTATTCAACATGCGATGATTGAATCCCTGGTTTATAGTGATGTTGAGATCTCGTGTGAGAATCTCGACTTCGAGCAGTTCTCAAAGGTGTCCTGGGATCGCTGTATACGTGCGGGCGGACTTGAAGGACCGTTTGCCTTTAATTGTATTGCCGTGGCGATGTGGGGGGAACTGTTCGAGAAATGGG